AAACAAAAACCCAATGGCTTTTACTAAACAATTACTGAAAATTACATTTTTAATTTTTATGATGCCTAGATTCTCCTATGATTATTTCTATTATTATTATTTCTATAAGAAATTAATCCAAATACATTTGTTACAGTCACACCAAGTACATAAAAATCTAGACTCTGAAATTTGCCTTATGAATCTTTGTATACCACCCTTCAAATGTCCCAACAATACCAAATGCTTTGTGTGTGTGGATCATACCCATGTTTGCTCATGGTCTCATCTCTGATCCAGCTTGCTTTTGTTACCATACTACTTATTCAGAACTGCCTCTTAATCAGGAACTCACAGCCATTATCAAGCTATCTTATGCCTCAGTTTCGTGTGTTTTGTATTTTATCCCATTTCCTTAATCTCTGTGTGTGTAAACTTTGCCTTCGCTGAAATCCTAGACATGTCACAATTTAGTGTAGATACAGTCTGGGCAGCAGGAACAGCTATCTGATTATTCTGTAAAGTACAATCTGAAATAGTCATCCCTCCCCACACTCCCCCCCCCACTTCCCTTACTTCCTTAGGAGGAGAAATGGTGATTTCTCTGTACCAATATCTCCAAGATTTGTTTCAGTGACACTCATATTTTGTCTTGTACTTTCTCATGTTCACTGTCACCACAGTAGCTACTATGAACATCTACCCTATGCAGTTTATTTTCTTTAACTTGCCTCTGAGTTGTTATTTTTCAAAAAGAGCTCCTAATCTCATTTTGACTACTTTTAGGGGTGATTTCCCTTAACTCAAGTTTCCTAATCTGAAGATTGCAAACAATTTTTTACTCACTTTTATTTTTTAAAGGAATCTCCCATATTATTTATGCATAGTGTATATACTTGTATTTTATACTGTTCTCTAAAACTCATTACTGATATGCTTACACATCATGTCTGCCTCATGTTGTAAACAGGTGTAAAAATCATTCTGTCTGGCACTAACAGAGCACAATGTCATGATCACTCGAATTCTTTTGATGATGATGGTGAAGATGATGATGGTGGTGATGTGATGCTGTTCTGGTTAGAAAACCACATAGCCCAGTGCTTTTTGTTTGTTTTTGAATGTGAGTTGTTTCTCATTCTACAAAGCTGTCATTTTTCATTACTAAAAAACAGTCATGATAAGAAGTAATTAGGGTTTAGTGACCTGTCAAATAATTAAGCATAATAAAAAGCTCTCAATGAGTTCAATATGAACGTGGTATAATTAAAGCCAAGTCTTGAAATGCATTTAGGTGTCTGTCAGGTATTTGAGGTTTGTCTCCTTTTTCAGTTGAAATTCTTAGATTTTTGCATCATTGAAGTAAAAAAAAATCACACATTTCTTGTATGCAAAGTGGGCTTTGCAGTGTTTGGTAAGGGCAGAATTTAGATAATCAATAACAATAAAACAACAACAACAACAACAACAAAACCACTTCCACAACTCTGTGATTTGCAAGTGAGTCCTAGAAATACTATGTGAGTTATCTAGGGTCACATAACGGTAAAGTCAATTCTTTGCTACTGAGAATTGAAGTTTGGGGTTATAATGAAGTGATTATTACAACTGTGTAAGATGTTTGCTAGGAAAATACTTATTTGGAATTTTTCCTGATGTAATTGCGGCTACTGTTGTATTTGTTTTAGAATTCAGGTCTTGTCATGGTGCCTTTTTAAAGGCTCACAGACATAGACAAGGCTGCAATGTCATCTCTCCCTCATTAGAATAAATGCATTGTTTGAGCTTCCCAGACCTTCTTTTGTGCATATTGTACTATCTTTTCTGCCCACAAAGATTTGGAAAAATTAGCAGAGTACAAGTAGACCCTGAAATAAAGGTATCATCCAAAGAACAAAGAACTAGAAAGAGGGATCCAATTAAAATGATGAAAATCTTTAATTTTTTATTTAGGTATACTTGTACGGACATGTGTATATACAAATACAGATCATATGGGTTTGTGTGTGGTTTTTTTTTTTTTACATTTTCTATTACGTTTATATAATGTCAGCAATTCAAAACAGCACTCAATGAGTAAGTGCAAAGGAGCTGTAAGCAGGGCAGTACAAGCACAGGATCACACGGAGCTGGACTTCACACCCAGACGCACACACAATGAGTGGCTTTAATGGGGTGTCAAGAGTAAGCATGGAAAGCGGATTTTGACTCATGGGTAACCTCCAACATGCCAGCATCTATTAAACTGTACAGACAATGGGAGCAAGCCCATTGTAGGGAGATTTGTCTCACATCTGAGCAGCTCTGGGGCAAATGCATGGGAAAAACTCAGCGATGCCAAACCAGAGATAGACCTGCCTATTCACGGCTCTGAGGGAAATGAAAATGTAGGAGGAAGGCAAGAGAGATTTAAAAAAAAACCCAACAATATAAAAAGTTAAAGGGTGGGAGTGTAAGCAACAGAGGTGGTGGCGGAGGTGGTTTTCAAAGAAAGCTAGAGACCACATCTCTGAAAACAGTTAGTAGCTTAAAACTTTGTTTAATTTTTCTTTATTTTTGGAACTAAGAAAAATGGCTGCAGCCGTTGCTAAGGCACCAGAGATAAACAGAGTTCCTGAAAACCCATAGATACTGTGACTCCTCCTTTTACAACCAAACAGAGAAGGAAACAGTCAACTTTTAGCCTTCCTAAGGGATTGGTTTGCAACCTTCCCTGTGCCTGAGCTGCACTCTATACTGACAAGACTCTTTCTGGGGAGGTGGGGTTGGGGGGAATGAAACACAGAAAACCAAAGTACAGAACCGTTACTAAATTCTCTACAATATTTCAAACCACATGCTTGGGGATAGTGGGAAGGACCACAGGGCTCCAACATCAGACCTGGACAACACTAAGGACAAAATATTGATCAAAAAGTCATGTTGCCCCAGGTCTCAAGATGATGGAGCCTTAAGATTGGATGGGCAATGACCACATATGAATTCAGTATGCAGAAGTGGCTCAACCATTTGTGACTTTTCTCAGCCATGAACACATTGGATGTCTCAAAACCTCTATGCATGTTTTTGTATCCTGAAAGTCTATTGTTCTACTTACAAAAGACATAAGAATCAAATTAATACTTTATTATCAAACACTATATACAACAGAGGTTGCTAATAATACAGAATTAAAGAACGCATTTTTTTTGTTTTAACTTTTCTTTCCTCTGCCACCCAAGAAAGTACAGTACAAAACAATAGTCTAAACTAACACGAACGGTTACCTGGTCTATTACAGGATACACGGTATCCACTAAACAGATCCTTATTTCCCTGCTTCATGTTGCAAGCCCTTGGCAACCAGGGGCAAAGGTCGCTGGGGTTTGACCAACTGGGGCTGAGGGGCACTATGGCTGCCTTGCATGATTCTGAATTGTTCTTGAAATTAAATCTGTTACAAAGTCGCATCGACATCCTCCTAAGTCCCCAGAGGATTGTTAACATCACCACAAAAGGCCACCAGCGCTTTTTGGACAAGATGAAAACTGATGCTGATCATCTTCTTGAAAACTCCACAGCAAGTGAAGAAGCTATGATTACGTCACTTATAGGTAGAGAAGCATATTGTCTACTGGTGTGGACAGTTTTGCTATTTTTTAAACTTAATTTGCAATGGTGCAATAGTGATGCACTAATTTCACTGTGAAAAATTAAAGACAATGATGGCAGAGAGGGCCATGAGTAATTACTTTATCATTTGTTAGACAAATGCTAGGGAAAAAAAAACCCACAGAAGTCACCATTTCTAAAATGAAATTAGTACTGCTAATGTTATGACTACCAGAAATCATTATGGGATCATTTGATTTCCTTGATTATAGAACATGCAATATAATTTTGGTTCTGACTACTGATCCATTTTACGAGGTGATTTTTCTCCCCCTCTACTCAAATCCCATTGGACCAAAAAGCTTGTAACTATTAATTTAAAAAAATTGTATTTCTGGATAATACTGAGAGTACTGAGCATATAAATAAATCAAAAAGGAATCAAATGCTATGAACTTTTGTTTCAGTGAAATGGTGGGTGCCTTCTGTGATAAGACTCTGCCACTCTGGAGAAGTCATTGATGTTGGTGGAGGAGAGATGCTCGTACCCTCCAGCCTGGCAGCCCCACTGACTTGGTTCTCAGTGAGAGCAGACTCAGTATTCATGTCCACTCTAACTATATCAGATAAGCCCAGATTACATTTCAATATGTGTATAACTCTCCTGGGTGCAGTACATTGACAGCCGCCTTCATTCACATATTTTTCTAATTCGAAACTGCACAATTCTAAGCAAATTGCCATTTATGAAGTCTGTCCATAATATGATCCCCCTTTCATTTTTTGTTTACATATATATCTTTTTAAAAAAGTGAATATATAAAACCCTTTATTTCTGTTGGAATGCTTTCCATTTTCACATTTAACATGACCGTTGCATTTGTTGACTTATGTTGAAAGGCATGGTTTCTATTGTCCTGCTGCAATAGAAATGAAAAAGGCTAGACTGCTTTTGCTCCCACTGTTCTGACACTTTCCCACGTCTAGGCTTTGGATATTCAAGTTCATGAGAGCTCCACTCGTAGAAACCCCAGGGCCTGCATTTCCTGTAATCAACTGGAAATGTCCCTTGTTGGCCATGCTAAGATTCTTTAAACAGGGTCATCCTGTGTTTCTTCTCCTTCTGCCCCACCCTACAATGAAACAAGATAGCCCCTCCCCACCCCATAGTTCTAAATGTATCAAGGGATACCACTTTTTCTCACAAGTTTAAATAGGACAAGCATATATACTCACTCTCAGCATAAAGTATATCTAAATAATGTATTTTCTATTCTAGTGGATTTTTAAAAAAATATTTTGTTAAAGTCTTTGGGACTCCATCTTGTTTATCTCCCACAGATAAACACACGTTCCCTCTACGCTTCAGGCTGTGTCAGAAAGGGAAAGAATATAAAATCAACACTTGAATTTTTTTTTTTTATTCCAAGCTTTGGAATTTTTTATTCCAAATTTCCCTTTCGCCCTCCCACGTAGTGCTGACTGACTCTCCTGGGAACAGGGGTTTGTGTCTAAGTCCCCTGTGATCACGGAGTGTAGAGCAAAATGTGGGCATTGGGATGGGAGTAGGGGAAAGGCCACGGCACACTGGAGCTCCAGCAAAGCCAAATCACTTCTCCTCTGTCCACTGACATCTTTTTCTTGGTACCTGTTGCCCCCAGAGGAGCAGCCAAAGCTATTCCACTCTGGACTCATCAAACCTGGCTTGTCAGCCTTGGGGAAGGTCACTTTATTCATTAAAAAAAAAATGCCTCTTTGAATTCCTAAGAAGAAAAAAAAATTGTAGCACCATGGTGATCTGTATTCAAAAGGAAAGAAAAAATCTGGTGTGCACTGCCCAGTCACTAACAAAATAGAGGCACTCACACATACCCACCTCCACTGAACAGATAGTGTTCTTTATTTCACACTTGCTCTGGGTTAGCATTCCTGTACCCTTCCTGCCTCCTGGGGGAAAAAAATAACAAGGCTTCTTTTGCAGATCACACATTTCACTGTCCAGAATGCTTTAAGACAGTCATATTTAAAAAAATAAAATAAAACCAGTGTTTCAACCTTTCAGAAGCCTGTTCATCTATATGCTCCTAGAGGAAATGGTGTAATATTGTGTCTATTCTTAATACCTCCCCTCTGGACCTGACATGGTGACATGATGCCCTGTATGATCATCTTGCAGTCCTGAATGAGAAGGCATAAATATTGTATAGAGAGTGAAACCCTCCCGGGCCTGGCCATCATTGGCCACATCTGCCACTACGCTTCCATGTCCATACGCCGCTGGCACAGTGCACCAACGGAGCTGAGCTCTTAGAGGAGAATGCACAGGAGCTGAAGAACCCACTGGTGTCACTAAGACAATTTGGCATTTGCATCTGGAGTCCATTTAATTTGGAAGGGGTGAGAAAAGTCAAAGGCCAGGGATAGGGGTGGGGTGGGGTGGGGTGAAGGAGGTGGCATCTAGTTTAGCCACTACCCCCCTCCAAGTTGTTGCTTAGAATTCAGGCTGAAAGAAAGAAAACAAAAACAAAAAATCTGACATCTGCCAAAAACCAATAACAAATCCCTTCTTAGGATGAGCAGTTAGGTGGATCTCTGGTGTTCCAAGACCCTGGTGTTTTTCTGTGACAGGTGACGGGAGGAGACTGTGCTATAATGTCAAAAGCATTGCCAGGAAGAACAGTAGGATTGCCAAAAGTCGACTGGGTATCCTTGGTGTCTGTGCCGCGTTCTCTCCGCGGGATGGCTCGGCTGACTCATGTACGGTGTCATCTGTTCAAATAGAAAGCACACGTTCCAATGAGATTCCACATTGTTAATAACCCTCTTGCAGCAGCCTGCTGTGAATAGACCCCACCACCCTCTGCAAAGTAGTGTAATGAACCTTGTGCCACCATTGACTTTCATGTCTGCATAATCACTCATTATTTACAGCAAACAAAGGAAAGGCTGGGACAATTCGTCTGTCTCCACAGTATTAATACTTCCCTTTAAAATGGAAGGGGGCAAAACAACAACAACAAAAAAGGTTGTGCCTACACTGTAACCTTTGCCATATGAGCCAGTGCTGTTTTGCCAGTGGTCAGACACATGTTGCACCAACTTGTGATGCCACAGGGAAGGAAGGAACATGTTAGAAGAGGTTAGGGCCACAGGCAGTTATGTGGGCACATTAGTAATTCATCAGGAGGGACTAACTCATTTTCTTCTTTTTATCCATTTCATAGGATTAGTGTAGAATGCCTGGTTTGCTTTGTGCCTGGGTGTATTTTCCAACAGGGAAAATTAATTGTCAAAACAATACTATTTTAAATAAACTATATATAAATCAACTATATATATATATATATATATCAGTCAACTATATATTTTTAAAAAATAGCCACTGGTTTGCCTACAATTAGGAATCAATTATGGTGCTATTTTCATTATAAGCTCTGCATCTTCAGGATTAAATTACTTGAACTTGACTATTCTTATTTTTATCAGGCTGAAGCTTGGCATATAAATTATCAGTGTGGATGCAAATTTTCCTCTAAATAAAATGGATTAAGTGAGTTAAGCTTCTTTTATTTAGCTATAAAGTGTTCTACGAGGCTGCCTCTGACTTTGGATAGCCTCCCTGATCTGCCCGATTAACGGGCTTAACTGGGAAATGGGAACTTTGCAGTAATTAGTGGCCAAAGATAGGCTGGAGGCTTGCCCATGCACTGTGCTCTTTCTTCCCCAGTGCGGCCCATCTCCTTCCTTCCACCTGGCCTCACTTGGGCTTTTAGATGAAATGACCTCTGAACAGGATCTGAGAACCCACAAGTGAGCCTTGGTGCAGTTTCCATTTCAGCATCACATGAACTTCCTCTGTGAGCTCCACTGCCATCTGGGTTCACTCAATGGTCAATCGGAAAGAACAATAAATGTGAGATGCTAATGGCTGCTCTCAGGTAGACCTCGAAAGATAATCTCTAAATATCCCCCTGTGGCCAGGCTTGGGCCTCTTAATGGATTAATTATCCATTACTTATATGCTTTATTTATTTTGAAGTAATGGGGTTTGAATTCAGGACATTATGCTCGCCAGTCAGATACTCTGCCCTTTGAGTCACACCTTCAGCACTTTGGGCTTTAGTTATTTTTTGGATAGGATCTTGCCATTTTGTACAGGGCTGGCCTCCCCCCATGGTCCTCCCGCCTATGCCTTTTGGGTAGCGAAGATTAAAAATATGCCCTACCACGCCTGATTTACTTGGGACAGGATCTCTTACTAATATTTGCTCATTGACTGGACTACAATGTCAATCCTCCTGATAGCTGCCTCCTGGGGTAGATGGGGTTACAGGCATCAGCCATCATGCCTGGTGCTCACTACTTTAAACTCATGTATATTGTCCTATGTGACAGGGTAGAGTCACACTCCCTATCATTTGTCCTGAAGTGACCTATTTTTAGGCCAGTCCTCAATTCGGGATATTCATCCCGTTTCTTCCTCATTGGCACTAGGAAATACATTTTCTCAGCCATCAGTCTTCTGATCTGGAGGGCTGCTAGCATTTTAGCAGGTCCTGATAGAGAATCTGCTGCATCCTTTTGTCTCATGTGTTCCCCCTTCCTGCAATTAAGCAACCTGGCTGGAGTGGGTTTAGGTTAGGAGACTTGAAAAGTTAGGAAGCAAGCATGAGAGGGTAAGTGATGCAGAGAAAAAGATGGAAGTCCTGCAAAATGTAGCCAACTACTTGCAGACCCTTATCTTTTCTCTGCTCTTTTCAACCTCACTAATGTAGTAATTAAATCTGCAGTTAATAGGAGGCAGAAGTAAAGGACCTTAGCAGCCCTGAAATTAAAATCCAAATCATCTTCTTAAGAGCACCAATATGGTGTCAATCAAAACAATGGAGCACTTCAGGCTTAATTATGAAAGAACCATAAACCCAGAGGATTCTAGAGTTCATTTGAAAACATCACTTATATTTATACACCGGAAATGATATCACCTATTGGGTTCTTCTCCGCTTTATTCTTAATAGCATGCTACACCAATCTAGCGCCGAGAGTTGCTTGGAAGTATACTACTAAAGGATGTGTAAGCAACACCCGGGCACTCAGTGTCAGCATGGGGGGAACTGCTTCTCCGCCTCCTGTCCCCTGCAAGTGCCCATCAAGGGCCCACCTGGCACAAGAGGTGAAGGAAGGCTGGGTTTTTTTTTTCATCTATATAAGGCATTAGGCGAATGTAGCATTCAGTCTACTTAATCATGGACAATCTTTGGAATTAGCCCTTTAGTAAGCAACAAATGAATATATGTTATCTTTTTCCCCAAACAGAAAATCTATTCTATTAGGACATCATAATTCTCTTGTTCCTGCAACCTTGCATTCTCCATCAGGATTCTACAAAGTGTCATTTGATTCAAATAGGGCCTCAATTATGGTGGGATTCTGTGCTCTCTCCCTCCCGCTAAGAGTGAGATGAGAAAGAGGCCATCATTCAGATAAATCTGAGCAATTTCAGAATTCTAAGGACGAATTCATAAGCAAAATCTATTCCAATGGAAACTATAGCTAAAGATGAGAGGATTTGTAAAACTTGTATGAGTGAACATGACTTGGTAGAAATAAATGCTCCTCTTCAGAATCCAAATCAAGTCTTGTCTCCTGGGTATAGGATTCTACCACATGGGTGTTTCAATGGTTAATATAGCACTAGAAATATTGTAGAGCATGTAATGTGACATATGTCTGTCCTGAGATCATCCTGCATCCCTGATGATAGGAGACTGGCAGGCAGAATGTGCAAGCAAACAAAAAAGACAAATACATTCCAGAGACAGGTGAATTAGTACGCATTGCTGAATACATGCAGTGGGATCTTTTCAGACTTGTTGGATTCATAAAGTCTGTGTCTACTCACAGAGCTGGCTAAAGGAGACTGTATACCAGCTCAATCAATCACCAGTATGGGCAATGTCTTAAGTCTGACTGAATTTCCTAAGGAATAGGGTGAAGTACAAATGTGGCATCCTACACAAACTTCCACAGACTGTGGCTCAACTTTGTCTCACTTTTGGAGTGGAGATGCTCATCAGGAAGCTCTTAAGCACAGTCATGACTAACTCAAATAGCTACATGTACACACGTAAGTGGACATACTACTTATCTATGTTGTATTACACGTGAGCAAATATCTACTACCTTCAAATGCACTGTGAAAAAGATCTGTTTCCTAAAAGATATTGAAAAGTGTTCATGTGTGAAAGTGTCTTATTATCCTCCATTTTATCATTAGTTGAATTCAAATGTAATTTTCTTAATAGCAGAACAGTCCTCAGTGTGCCTTTCCATTGCCAGAGAAAAACTGCTACCTCGTATATTTTTAGCAGCCTCCTGTTCTCTACATAGGCAAGGTGTTTACCTGGAAATAAAGGTCATGGGGGAGATATGTTGAACATATTTTGAAAAATGTGAATTAAAGAATCATAGTCCCACCTAACTGGTCATTCAACTTATGACTTATTCACAAAGTTAGTAAGTCTTCTTTCTGACTATCTCTGCCTTCAGGAACAGTAAAGGAATATTACTTGAATACTAATATGAAATGGAGGCCAAGAGATGTGAATGTTAAACCTGGGCATGTGTAACTGGGCAAGTGTTCTCAGTTGCAGGAGGAAGAGTGGAGACTGTGAGGTTTAGAAGAGTTCCCATTGAACTTGCTGCTACTATGGTGGCTACAACCTCATGCTGGTACCTTGAAAAGTCACAATAATGCTTCCAGATTTCCAGGACACAATTAAAATGTCTCTGTGTCAGCACTCATTCCTTGCAACATCCCAAAGTGCCTAACTGATTTCTGGGGAGCCACTAAAGTCTTTGAAAGCTCATTGTACACACCTCTCTCATTTGCGCTCTGGGTTAGATGCCTGCTTTAGGAAAACAAGAATGCTTGGAGGGGGGAAAAAACACTCTAAGTCTTCCTGTCAGCTACAATGTAGAAGCTATTGTATGTCCTGAGGCACTGCATTTACTCAGGATAAGTTTCCCTTAGGCTCACTGACTACATTATTCCTGTAACAATACTCAGAGGATAAAGTGGACCTTGAAACCCTTTAATTTTTAGAAACATAAGAAAAAGACCAAAAAAAAGTGTGCGTATGTATGTGGGGTGGGGGGGATGGGAATCTTTATATGAAAGAGCTCAAGTCTCTTTGTGGAAAGAAAGTGATTTTATTTCCCTTAAGCTTCCACATGGTCATCATGGAAGGTGGGTAAGGAAATGTCTAAACATCTTCAGTGGTGGGATGGAGGAAAAGGGATGGGGAGAGGACATGGGCATTTTCAGGCAGACTCTTCACTCAACAGTGGATGGAGGACTTCCACACATAAGCATCCGGTCTAGTTGCATTCAATGACCAGACTGACTTTATAACCAAATGGATACTTTTTACAGGTTGTCATTATCTCCCCACATGCCACAAACGTAAATGTTTAGATTTTAGAATACTATTAGGGATATTATTTTTCTTCACAGTGATGGGAAAGTTTAGAAAGTGTAGAAAGTTAGAAAGTCAGTAACATAAATAATTAGCTTATCCTTAAATTTTAATTTGGCTGAGCACGGAGGGTCATTCCTGTAATCCTAGCTACTTAGGTGTCTGATGTTTGAGGATCAAGGTCCAAACCAGCCTGGGCAGAAAAGTCCACCAGACTCTAATGTCCAATTAAACTACCAAAAAAAAAAAGCGCCAAACTGGAAATGGAGTTATGGCTCAAGTGGTAGAGCACAAGCCTTGAACAAATGAGTCCAATGACAGCACAAGGCCCTGAGTTCAAGCCCTAGTACCAGCACATAAAACAAAATAACAAACAAACAAAATCCCACTTATTTTGCCTTAGTCTTCAAGGTATGGGAATTTGTGGTAACAATCTAAGCATATTTCTCCAAACCAATTGCTACTGACAACAGCACAAATGATAGTGAAATAATGTGAAGGTTTTTTTTTAGGTGAGTTCCATGATGGATATGAATTTCTAGAGAACACTAAATGCATTGAATTAGTTGCTATTTTGTGCATGATCTATTATCCACAGATTTGGATTTGATAATTAAAAGAAAATTTTATAAATATGTACATTAGAAATGTTTTCTGACTCATCTGAAAACTAGACTTTTCTCAGTCACAATGTGACCAGCATGCTCTGAGGATGTGGTAAAAGGTAGTGAGATTTCAACATCTGGATGGGGCTTCTGTGTTAGGATATTGTATTAGATGCAACCCATGTCCAAAACAAAACTGGTATTTTATCTAACATGCATTACATGAAAATACGGGAGGATGAGATAGAATATAAGTACTATTAGCATTGCTAGCAGTGGGCCAAAGCAGAACAACTCTACCATGCAAACATGCAGAGAGGAAGAAAGGAAAAAAAGTACTGAAGCTCCAGAGAGATAGATGCATTTGTTAAAAGAGATTCTCTAAGCATACTAACCTGCTGGTTCTAATGAATTTTCTACTTTGTCGTTAACATCGAAAACACGATCATGAACACCTATAGTTTTCATACAGCTATCTATAACAAAAATAGAGATAACAGCCAAATATGTTAGTGAAGACACCTTTATACTCCCATTTCTTTCTTTTTTTTCTTTCTCTCTACTTTTTTTCTTTTACGTATGCAAAGATTGTTTGACAATCAATGGCATGTATCCAAATGCCAATATTGTTCCCTTTTGCTGTGCACGTACAACAGCCTAAGAAACAACAAGTTAGCAACTGCTGTGTACTTAAATAAAATAAAAGCATCATGAAGAATGATGAGAAAAATATGATGAAAACTAAAGCATGGATGTTGATATACAAAACATATACCACACAAGATTTAACATTAAAAAACAAAATGTTTTACCGCTGTGAACCACACCACATGATAAAGCATGCCTGGTGAAAGGGACCTCAGAGGCTCGTTTGAGTGAACTTACTTGTTGGTCTCACAAAGACTTTGAGCTTTAAGCAGGACCTTCTTCCATTATCTGGGATTGCAGAGGCTGTGGATAAGAGAAAGAGAAAGAGTGAGAGAAAGGAGAGAACAATAACCCATTATTCTTTGTTTTTTCCATATACATGTCTACAATACATTCTTTCAAGAACAATGGGAACATACTTTAATTCTTGTCTGAAGTTAAAACAAATACTGTTCAGATTGATCTCACAGGGCTATAGAAAGGACCATTGTCACATCCCTATCTTCTTTTTCTTAAATACAATAAAGAAAGAATGTGCAAAAATGTGGGTAATCTATGAAAAAATACTTTGGATTTTTATTTCAAAGGCATTCCAATTTAACATGATCTGTTATCAATTTTCTCTAAAACAAGAGAATAATGTTTGAGCTCTTTTGCTTTATGAGCTGTCCCTTCTAGATTGCAGGAAAAGGTGTACACCAGAGACTCACAGTAAGAACACTGGCCAAGACCAATAATAGATAGTTACAAGGCAGACTTAAACATGACAGATTTCTGCTGGGGAAAGCAAGCTTTGTTCATCTTGAAAGCTTGTCTGTCAGTGCTCTGTAGGTAATTCAATTATAGGCTTTACTCAAAACTTGGCTCCACTTTCTATATGACTAAACTCGAGCCCCGCAAACCACCATCATGCTATTAGAAGAATAATATGCTATTGAGAAAGTACTATGTTTCAATGGTACTTAAAAATAATAATTTGACACAGAGAAGGATGGAATTAATAAAGCGGGCTTACCAAAACATGACAACATGTTTCAAGTTATAAATCATGTGAGGAAGAAACTTTCTTCTCCTCTTCAAGATAATAAGATTGTAAACTTTCTCCACGTTTGAAAGATTACCTCCTCTCAGTATTCAAGCATAATGTGAAAGGGATTTCCAAGGGAGGTAAGACTCTTTGCAACCACATGTGTTTACAAATGCACTCTAGCAATGACAAAAATTATAAAAATGAGTGTGGCATATTTTCCTCCCTTGAGCTTGCTTCAAGTGGTTTTTTGTTCAGAAAAAGCAGATGACATCAATCAAAACACACATGGCTTAAAATTAGTTTGTTAATACCCAAAGTGACAAAGAGAAGACTAGCATTTACCGTGTATTCTCTACCTTTTATTTTTAATTTTTGTTTCAGTGTTCATGGGGAACCTGGAAAACAAATATGCTTACTTTGCAAGGGAGTGGATTCAGGACTCAAACTCGCAAGTAATTTGCCATGTTAACTAAATAACTAATAGCTAAATAACTAAAGCTGTCTGAATTCTGTGGAGAACTCAGAAATTCACCACCTAAAAGACTTTAAGGAGTAAGAGACCCCCAAGTGTCATTCCTCAACACCTGTTGAATCTCTTTAAATTTTAAGACAAAAGTATAGAGAAAAGATGTTTTTAACCCTCCTCATCTGCCCTGGTCCCCACTGACAAGCAGTTAAGAAGTGCTAACAGCTGGCTTTGCTGTAAGCTTTCATTAAATCAAAGTCGGAAACACTCCCTCTACTGACATTTAGAGTAACTAGTGTGTTATTTAGGGCACAATATTTGTACTTTGTGGTTTGATCCAGGAAATGGTGTCCTTCCTATAGACCCCAACTGCAAATATGAATGTCACAAACACAGCACAAATAGGTGACTCCAATTCATTAGGAAAACCATAGGTTCTTGAACGAGTGCATGCCTTATTCATGAGAGGTAGTATGGAAAAGTGACATGTGGATATTTGCACTGCTGTTCTGTAGATTTCTGAGCTTAAATGAACTCGCTTCAAGCTCCTGAACTTGATTTGACACAGGCAAATAACTGATTTTACACATGACATTGCAAGATAAGCAGGCTCAAAGCATGATCAAATGTTTAATTGTTTTGAGGATTTAGTGGAGGTCTTACAGAATCTACTAATGAGAAATAAATCCAGCACATAAAAATTATTGTATGCTATGTTGGAATAACTAAACAGAAGAAAATGATGAGCCCTCAGGCAAAAAAAAAGTCAAGATAAAACCTAGAGAGTTATCTCACATACTCACCAGGAGGGACAATAAGCCTAAATTAAGGGACAGCTCATTTGTCAGTGAATTAAAAATATGCATTCATACATAAATTAAAGACCAGTCTTCCCATCAGTCTTCCCCCTTTCTTAAGTTATCTCCTATCACCAGAAAAGCCTTAAAGAGGATAATGTGATTGAGGCCTAGTGACCCTGTTGGACTATTACACGCGAATCCTTAGGAAAAGATATGAGCAAAGATTATTTACGTGAGTGCAGATATAGACTATAGTGAATAGGTTAACTCTGTAATCTCTGGCCTCAGCACACACAGTAAATTCCTAACCCCAACAGCCAAAACAGACGACATTTGCCAGGTCAATGCAGGTTGGATTCCTTCTTTATATTGAAAAACAAAAAATAATTTTTAAAAATCCATATCAACAAAATTACAATTCTTATGGAAATTTGAAAAAAATAAGGGTGTTGCTTTACCTTATGTTAAATTTCAAGGTTTCTTCACCCCACACCCCACAGTTGACAGATGTGTGACACATTTATACTACTCAAAATACAGATGGTTTATCATTCGTAATATCGGAAGATATAAGGTAACAAAAAGGCGTTTTACAAATCTCAAGTAACCAAAAGGCAGATGAGTGAGCATTTAAAACATGAAATAACAGAAGAATTCGAGTATGTACTATTCCCACAAGTAAATTTAGAAAGAAAATAATCTTCTCAGGATGACTTATGAGCAAAATATACAGCCAAAGGATGGAAGTGAGGGAATAAAAACCTGGCTTTGGAGTAGGAAGGAGTAAGTAATATTAATGCCCTTGGCAATGGGAAAAAAAATCACTGTGTAAAGATCAACATTATCTTAGTTAAAAGAAAATGCAAATGTAATTTTACATCTATATTATAACTTCTTTATATGTACATATACAATTTCTTGGTGTTACTTTACAAAATTAACAGTCAACACTGGAAATTGATAGGCATCAGTTATCAAGATGCACAATATATTGCTTCAGTTTCACCCATCATTTCAAATAATTTAAAAATTCCTTCTGCATGCCAGCATCTTTATTTACATACTGTTCCTGCCTTTATATTATACCTATTCCAGCTAGGACATAAACATGAGCCACATCTTAGGGCATCCAGAGTGGCCTGTGTATAACCGAGGGTCACATGAAGAGCCAGACTGCTTTGAACAAGGAGTTAGTGTTGGCTTTGCCTGGAGTAGCATGTCAATAAAAGTTCATTTGACAGACTTTCATCAGAGACCTCACTGATTTTTCCAGAAGCCAATCAATAGCAACTAGAATAAAATAATTGAAACATTTCATCCCTAAATTCCCCAAATCAGAGCACTGACAACTAATTAGAGGTATTTAAATGTAATAGATGAAGAAAATATAGACCTAAATTTTTCCTATAAAGATACATGGGTTGTCTAATCGAAAATTTCAATTAAAATGAGGAATACTTTAAACAGTTACCACAAATCCAAATTCACTTTCTTTTACTCTTTTATATATATGCAATATGTAATATGTGATATATATATATATTACATATAAATATATGTATATATATTGTTAAGATACTGTACTCCTTTACTGCTAAAAATGTACATGTTGAGTCAGGAAGTTGGCAGTATAGACATGGAGTCCATTAAAACAAGGAAAATGTCCCGTTCTATTATCTTAATAACAACTTTATAAATCAATCCATAGGGTCCTTTTCCATAATGAGCTGCAAAGCACCGATCAAAACCTGGCAAGAGATAATGAAATATAAGCTTGTAGCTCTCTGTTTCTCTGTATTAGGATACCATGCTAATAAAGCTATGAGGGCACCTTGTCTTCATGCTGTTCAGATCTCAGATAGAAGCCCTAATGTCATCTGTTTCTGAAAACCCACTTTTGGACTACAGGGGTACAGATGAGCTTCTCTGAACAATTAGCCAACATGGTAACTAAGAAGGCTCATATTCAAGTCCTCCCAAATTAGTGCTTATAATTGCATTGTATTTAGCATTGCAAATGTATGTAACATCCATACCACAATTCATTATAAGTCTATCATTCAGACACAGGAGGAGAATACTGGTATCATACTTGTAGGCAGCCCTGACAGGGTTCCCAAAGACTCCCTGCCTGCAGGTATGTAATTCCCTAACTCCTTTCTGTAATCCCCTGCTGTTGAGAGTGGCTGAATTTAGCATCTTGCTTTTAATGAATAGGACACAGTAAAAGCTGTGGGGTGTTACCTCTCTGATTATGTTACAAAAGTCTGTAACTTCCTTCTTGCTAATATTCTCTTTTTTTTGTGCACGAAGCAATGAGCCATACTGTGAGCTTCTCTGTGGAGAGAAACATGAAGCAAGATACCAAAGGAGTCTTCTAGCCAAGAAGTATGGAAGCAACTGATGTCTTAGGAGAAACAACAACAACAACAAACAGAAAACAAAACAAAACAACAACACCAAAAACACACCTCACAAGGAACTGAAGATGCAAATCATTTCCAGCTGAGCCTAGCAGTAGACTACTGTGGCCTCTGAGAATTGCAACAGACCCAGAGGAGCAGAATCTGACTGAGTTCCTGATGCCCAGGACCTCTGAAATAATTTTGTTGTTTTAGCCACAAGCATTTGAGCACTTCATAATCAAGAGCTACCTGATACAATGCAGTCTAGGAGTAAACTTCTGCAAGGCAGACGTGAGATGGAAGCGTGTTGGTGATCTCTGTTCATGGGCAGCTACGCCCTTGCTCCTGCAGATCACACATTCCTCATTCTGCAGCCAAGCCTCAACCAACAACTGGAGTTCTTACCAGTTTATACTTCAAGCTACCGTTACAAGCCCACTTAAAATATGCCTTGAAGAGAGGTAATTAAAAAATGCTGTTGAAGAAATTCTACAAGACACATCTATTTGTTCTCACTCCAGCACTTAAGGACTGTTTTTCATTTTCCTTCTCATGCAACTTAAGTTTGTTTTTCCTAATATAGTCAACCTGGGCTGTTCCTT